CACACACACACACACACACACACACACTAACACACATACACACACATACATACATACTCAAACATACACACACATACATACACACATACACAAACATACACATACACATACACACGCTCATACAATAAACTCACGCTCAAATACACACGTACACAGATCGCCTCACACACACAAACACACGACACACACATATACACACACACACGAATATAAACATACACTCACACACACATTCACTCACATACACACACACACACTCACACACATACACACACACACCCACTCTCACACACACATATACCCACACACATACACGCATACTCCGTCGTGCCGGCGCACACACATCTATGATTATAACGTTCAATATCCTCCTTTAGGCAAACAATCCAGAACCAACCCCCCCCCCCCCCCCCAAACCCCTCCTCCCAACAGACAAGGAATTCTATGAAATCCTTTCTAACTTGCAAGATCCTGTCTCCCATCTCCAACTGCAATTTCCAGAGCTATCAGAGTGTTGGTGACAAGTTAAACTAGCCATAGAATCCCTTACAATCACAAACCTGTCTGTATTTCTTTTTAACATCTGAGAGCGGAGTATCTGGGTCAATCTGCAAAACCTGTAATGGAAAAAAAAGCACTTACTTTCATAGTAATATTTGGGTTCAAGATATCAGAAGTCTTACGAGCAAACATCACAACTGTATATATTTGAAGTATGGATCACAGCATTTGTAACAAAGCAAATTAAATCCTCCTGCATGTAAAACACAAAGCACATTTTGCCTCATCAAATTTGAAATGTAAGTTCACAAGGGTCTATTTCATATGGAAACAAAAGATCTGACCCTACAATGCTATGTGACAAGTACTCGGACAACACAAAAAGGACAGCTTGTCGATCTCACTACACAGAAACTATGTGGCGAATGGCCCCAATTTTCTGCATGTGCCTCTAAATTTTAAAAAAACGAAAATTCTCGATTTTCGTACATAAGTGACAAATATAAAGAGGTGTTTTTTATATAATCATTAGTATTTAATTACAGTCTGCGCAGGGATTTTTTATTACAACAAGAACGGTAGTTGAGTGTTAGGTTTTTTGTTTGTTAATATATATATTTCTTTCTTTTTTTTTCTTTTTGAACTGAATGCATGTGCCGCAAAGCTGAGTTCTTTTCAGTCCAGCGGTTAGTGTGTGACAGTGGGTTTATTTACCTTGACTACTTGTGATATAACAATGAATAAAATTTCTGTCATATCTTCATTCACAGTCTTTGAGATCACATGCGTTTTAATTTGCTGTCGCTTTTTCATTAATCACCATGGTTAGGTTATTTAATTTACAACCCTCCCCCCTCCAAAAAAAAAGAACGTTGCCTTAAAACAATTGAACTATTTCTCCAAAGAAGCTGATCGAGGCCATCGCTTTTATTCTATAACAAATCCTGCAAAAAGGACATGACATGTATGTTTAGGGAGGGGGTGGCTCTGCCTGTGGATCTGTACAGGGGGGGGGGGGGGGGGTATGTGCCCAGTGACATGCCTATCAGCACTTCAAATTTAACACTTTGTTGATCCCGGTAGTTTGTTTGACCTACCTGTATCCCAACCCAATCCCCATGAATTTTCTGGCTAAGTCCCGGCACCGAAACCCTGTATTGTTATGGTTTTAGCATGGTATTGTGCTTGCTATAAAAAGTGCACGGTGTTGAGTTTAGTAAGCAATTAATTACTAATGATTATATAGACAGCACCTCTTTATACTTGTCGCATATTCACGAAAATCGAGATTTTTTAGGTCTTTAAGAATTCAGAGTCGTATGCAAAAAAAAAGAGAGATTCGCCACTTAGATTCGGTGTAATGAGGTCAACAAGTTGTCCATTTGGTGTTGGCCGGACTATAGCCTTGAGATTGGCTGTTTTTTTATCAAACTCAACCCAAATGTGTACTCTACTAGAAAATCAGACATGTTTGATTTTGGGGGAATTTATTAAATTGTGCCAAATGGTAGCTTTTGCCCCTCCATGAAGGAAAACCTTGTCTAATAGAATAAAACCATATCAAATAGGGATTTGAAGAAATTGTCTGCAGTATGCACCGTTTATTAAGAAGAAAAAGTACCGGTATGCATATAAACTGTCTGGAAATCTAAGCTATCTGAAAAACATGTTAATAAACACCTATTCAAACCCCTTCAAACTCATTCTAACTCATTTTTATAGGCATTTAGTTAACGCATAAAAATATTTGCTATTTGCCAACATTTTAAATTGTTATATATGTATACATCAGTTACGATCAGAGTTTTTTTCTCTAAGAAAACAAAATTTGGTATAGAAGGATCGAGGAAGATTTAACTTACATCATATGGGTTCAGGTTGAAATAGGTAGCCCCTGGCCTAGTAAGCCTGTCCATTTGTTGCTTGGATGTCAAAACAGCATCCCTTTTCTCAATTGCTTTCACCTGAAATAAAAACAAAAATTAAACAATCTCAGTTCTTCCCATGACATTGTAGTCATAAGGCATGAGGTGGAAGTTTCACTTTGAGCAAATGAGAAGTAGGAAAGGTCCCTCAAGTCAAAGAATGAGACTGGTGTGCGGATGACCCAAACCTAGCAAAATTTAAAAGAGAAACGCCGCTTTTTCGTTTGCTACCCCAGCCGGGCCAGGCCACTCTCTTGGATCGTTAGTATTCAGGCGGTCTTTCCACCCATTCAGTAATCGATAGGCCTAAGGGGTCGAGCACCATCATCTAGATCTAGACCTAGATTGTTTGATCATAATAAATATTTCCTCAATGCTGTTTGTTGTTATTAATTTGTTTTGTCATAGATCAGTTTTTGTTGTATCATTTGCCTTGCAATTGCTGTTTGAAAAAAAGGTCAGACTCTCACTTTTCGTTTCAGCCCTGACCCCCTGAGGCCACTGTGCCATTCTGCCTGAGCTCCTGATTGAATAAAATTATTACTAGATCTAACATTCGTTTAATACGATCGTCAGAACCACATTCCAGATCCCTCTAAATCAGAAAGTAGATCTTTTTAAAAAATCAATCTAAATCAGAAAGAGAGCCAAACGGGACCCAGATTCTTAACCCTGGAAGTGCGCAGGCCCTATATAAAGGGCATGAGCCGGACTACCCAGGAAGCGCGCAGGCCCTATATTTAGGGCTGACCTACTTCGACCGGGAAGCACGCAAGCCCTTTGTAAAAAAGGGCATAGACGCTGAACTTTTTCAAAGGAAAATTTCAGTATTCCTTATATGGAAAATGATGTAGTAAATAACAGGTCAAAGTTATAAACAGTGGACTTTGCAAGTTATCTTGACCTCGTAGAGCATCTCTTGGCCGAGATATCGATCGAAAAAGTGATGCAGTCCAGCTGAGCGACTACACGCTATGTGTTATCACTTGTTTCGCTGTGCTGACGTACTAATTGTTGAGTTTATCGCCTTTTGCTCTTTGTATTTATTTGATCGCTTATCATTTTTGAATGGATCATACTATCATCTTTAAGAAAAGATATGGTTTTATATGCCTTTTATCATCTGTTGAGCGGTAAATGGTCATTTGTTAGTTGCAGGTATACCTCTCGGGGGCTCCTTGAAAATTGCCTTCCCGTTTGTTTACATAAGAAACAGAAGTGATTGCAAAGGACAAAAGTGGCAGTAGATATAATATAGGCAAAGTGAACCCTACCGCATTAGCCAGTAATATTTTTCTGCCTTTTTTGTATTACAAATTTATTTTGGCCGGATTGAACTTTGGTGGACCCACCGTATTTACGTGTATATTAATGTGCACCAGCCATAACAGTGGGGGGGTTTCAGGGCCCCCCTGGTAAATTTTAAAAGAAAACATACATTCTTCTTTACATGGCAAATTATCAATTGGAACGGGAAGGCAATTCGCAAAGGGCGCCTACATCTCGGGTATCTCAGCTGGTATCCCCCTGCAAAACCCTCATGTTTACAACCGATCGACCGTGGCGGCAGGGCATTTTTGGCGGGTTAATTTCGGTGGAACGCTGAGCGCTTCTGGGGTTAAGTAGTAAGCCTACCCTAGATTCTAGATCTAGAATGGTGTCGCCGGTTCGCGAGCACTTCGCCATCTTTGAACCTATTTTCCGCCATTTCTGGCTTTGTACTTTCGTTTTCAGCTATTCCACTCTCCATTCAAGAAAATATAGACCTATAAAACGGTCTTGCTCATAGTTGCCAGATTTCTTAAACGCTGCGTGCCCAACAGTTTTTCCAATCTTGGGTGTTCTCTTCACTGTGCATGCACGTCTTCTCAGTGCATGCATGGGATTCTTCACTGTGCGTGCACCCATACAAGTTAAAAGCCAATAGCAGAGAAATCTGATAACATTTGTGCATTAAATGACCACACAAGAAGACAACAAGTCACTTTAGAAGCAAAGTAAGGTTTCTTTAATTAGAATCTAAACTAATTTAATTAAGGGGGAACAAATAGTTCAAATACTTAGTGGAACAAATCAAACAGCATTTTTCACAACTAAAATCCACACTTTCAAACTCTTCATCACTCATTCCTCTGACCTTTCTAACTTTCACACAGTCCACATGCCACCATCCATGACATTCATCACACTGCAACCATCTTTCATACTGAAATTCTTACATTGACAACAAGACTGCTCTTCCTCCATATTCTCTCCATCTGAAGACTCATCCACTTCCACGTCCATGCTCACAATCACTTCATCCACATCCATATCATCATACACACATCTAGCATTGCAACCTCAAGTTGAAAAGTGCTGCACAAAATAATCATTAAATTTGAGTTTACTTTTGGCTTAAAATTCTACCAGATCTATATTATATATATATATATATATATATATATATTCATTGCGCACGCGCAGAGAAAACTGGAGTTTTTTCAGTCTTCACAACGCGTGCACCCCCCGACCTAGAAACCTGCATCACAACTTGGCATAGAACTCGATAAAAGGTCACGTGAAACACTCAAGGTAGGAGTAGGCAAATTTTTTAAGCTAGAGGGCGCGCAGTCTATTTGAACCAATCAGAAGCAAATAGGTCATCAAAGCTTGTTCACAGGCAGTGTTGAATGTAGCAATGACAATGAAGAATTAAATGTTCATCCAAATTGCTTAAAAATAAAATGGGCTTCAATGAAAATAGAGTAAATTCTAAGAACTATGGTTTTTAAATTTTAAAAATCCATTGATAAACAAAAAAGTCATTGGGATTTTTGTTTGCAAAATTGTTGAAAATATCGCCAAAATGTGGGACATGTCTTGATGAATTTTGAGGAAAAACTGTTCATAAGGCAGTAATGAATTGGAGTACACATGAACGAAACTTTGCATCTTCATGTGATTTTTAGTGCAGAATCTAGTTCTGTTATATCACTTTTTCCATGTCTTTATTACTTTGGATCTTAAAGACTGATATTTGTGTGAAATTTGTTGAGTTGCGTGACATCGTTTTTACTGCGACGCGATCACCCCTTCTAAAACTCAGTAAAGCAGTATCGGGGAAAACCCGCGATGAAGTCATCGGTGACCTTATTAGTTATAGGTAGCCAATCACATGCTGCCTTGCGATCATGCACCTCTTACATGCCGGCACCTCGAGTTTGGAATGCATGATCTAGTTTCCAGCTCTAGTGTTTTATCAACGGATGGGTGGTAAATTTAAGTTGGTACGTAAAATGTACTACACGTAGAGATCTGAAATTTTACAGCAATAAAGAAAACATGTGGAGCGCCTCTGTGGTCGGCGATCAACCTGTAGCTCCGCTTAGTTTTTGAACTGCAGAGGAAATCCGCACAAACAAGGCAATTTCTCCGGTTCTAGAAATTGTTCAGGATTGTATGCTGGCATGTTGTTAGTTTAACCTTTCCTCTGATTGGTTGCCGAGTTTCATTTATTTTCGTTCTCGAGTTTTCTTGTAACTATACTTAGAAGAGAGTCACTTCTGATACCGAGGGGCCCAAAAATTACCCCTCGCGCGGAGGCCGATTTCCAGCCCAAGGTGCAGTGGGCGAATGGCATTGCTATTGAATGTCAACTTGCCACAGACAGCTGATGAAAACACTTTTGATGATCCCTTGTCAACAAATGTGTTAGGGAAGTAAACAAAAATGGCTGCTGCACAAACTGACGCTTTCAATCAAACGCAAAAATGCAATTTAAGGCTATCAAAAGTGCACGTACAGAGAAGGCACAGGCGCAGGGGCTACACCACTCTAGATCTAGATTAGATCTAGAATCTAGATGTATCAAATTTGCGAGAGAAAAAAATGTCATATAAAAGTGAATGAGAAAAAAAAATATAATAAGCTTCTTGAGTTGAGCATGAGAATGAGACGGGCAGTGGCGAAAGTAAAATAATACTAATAGTTAGATCTGGATTGTACTTTACCTGACCACCCGTCTCGGCCCGTGATTACTACGCATGCCTAGCCTAACTACGCACTCAGTTCATAGTACTCTATGTGCGGACAAAAGGTAGTTCCGCGGGCGACTTCCCGCACGCACAGCGCAAGCCAGCGGCGACTGGCGAGGCGAGGTGAGCGAGAGGTGATGGTTGAGAGTGGGCAGGGGATTTAACTTTGGTGGACCACCGTGTATCATACCAACAGTGGGGAGGGTGGGGGTCGTTTTCGGTGGGGGGGGGGGGTTCAGGGGGGCTTGCCCCCCTGGAAATATTAAAGAAAACACACAAATGCGAAACAATAACATGAGCGGACAGTCGTGTTTACATATCAATGAAACAACAGTGGGGGGAGGGGGGTTTCAGGGGGGCTAGCCCCCCTGGCAACAATAATTTAAAGACACACACACACAATAAACAATTTAATAACATGAGCGGACAATCGGGGTAGATACTCACCAAGTCGCGAGCAGGGCTGAGGGGGTTGCAATTATGCAAATGAGCTCTCGTGCGCATCTCTAGCTCTAGCCCTCCATTGTACTTTGCTGGACCAGGAGTAGGCCAAGCCAGCAGAGTCGCGAGCAAATAAGAATAGTGGACCACGTGATTAGATTGACCAATTAGCCTCAAGGTGTCAGGGTCGAGGGTCAAAGGGCACGGTCGTGATGACGGTAAAACCCCGTAAGAGACGTCAGTCGATTGTTGGCAGTCGAAGGGTGAGGACGTAGAAAACTGAGCAGGAGAGTGAGTAGGGGAGTTCGGAAACGAAGAATAGCGGGCCACTGGCACCAGGGGCGCCATATCGAAAGTAGTTCCGACAGGTGGTCCGGTAAAGTACAATCTTACCGCCTAGCCTACCGACATGACAACAATGTAAGTCCCGGAGTCCAGTGACAGTGACAGTGAGCAGTGAGTGTCAGCACTGAACAAGCAAGCCACAAATACGCTAAAGAGGGGAGGACTTCCGTAACGAGCGACTACTATGAGACAGAGCAGAACTGAGGGCTAGGGGTAGGGGTAGATCTAGGGGTAGGGGTAGGTGTAGGGTTTGGGGTTAGGGTTAGGCCTCTTCTTTTTTAATAATTTTATTGTGTTTGATAGGGCAGGGTGGTCGCTCGTTACGGAAGTCCTTCCCTAAGGAGAATAAGAGATCTTACCTCTTCATAGTATTCGGAAAAAGCAGCCTCTGAATGATTATTATTTGGGAGGACGCCCTGAGAACTTGATGTAGAGGGTCCAGAGGTCCAACCTCCGCCACTGTTTACGTTAGATTGGCTGTTGAAGCCGTGGGGAGCTGCGTCCGTCGCCATTTTGTATCGTACAATGCATGTGAACAATTCCGGACAAAAACAATGTAAGCGAAATAAAAAGTTTATCCTTGACCGTTACTCCTGTCTTCAACGAACTTTTGTAAGTTTGCTAGCAATGAACAGGATTCAACATTTGTGGTTCGTTAGGAACATTGTTAACCTAAAGCCAGTGAAATTTTTGTACTGTTAAAATCGATTCATTTTATGCTTCAAACGTATTGCCTTTCATTTTATAAATGATTATATATATACACACACACACACACACATAAATATATATATATATATATATATATATATATATATATATATATATATATATATATATATATATATATATATATATATAAAATCCCCATTCACGATTAAAACATAAATTAAATGCCAACGTTGCGTGGGATGTATAGTCCACACAATTCCTTACAAAATTCCTTACTTGAGATGAAACAGCATCAGAGACCCCATGTGTATTTTTTACTTAATGCAATGAGATGAAACATGCAAACAGAGGAAATTGCAAGTCTCTTAACAGCAAATAAACAAGTGGGGGTGAAGTTGGCTGCAGAAGCCATATCCGAGGAACATTAGTAGGCCTATAATACATCTACTGCTTTTGAAAAATTTTAAGCACTTACCATGGTAAGTAAGAGAAATAAAAAGATGTGACCTGATTTTTTGTTCTTTCTCGATCTTTTGTTCGCATAACTGTGAACATTTGATTTCCTTTTATTTTTCGCTTTAGTTGTACTGTCAAACATCTTTCCTTTTTTTCTCTCTTTTTTTTGTAAGTGTTTTACAGTGCTCGCAAGGTGACATGAACGTGCGGGACACATTAAACATTTTCAGTTGGTAGGAAATTTTGAATTTTGCCTGGGTGGCGGCCGACTCTCCGACTTTGGACCACCTTGGGATCCTTAACTTGCGCAACTTGCACCCGGGACCTCCAAGATTTTTCGCCCTTCTCCGAGAAGGCTAGGTTTAGATCTTTCCTACCATAAGATCAGGGGCGTGGCTGAAAGACAGCAGTAAGAAAAAGCCAAAGAGTATCAGTAGAAAGGCTGCAGAGAGTCATAGGAGCCCCAGGAGGGTCAAAAGGTGAGGAGGTGGTGGCAGAAAATGGAGACAAAAGCAGACGACAGAACAGAATTAGAGAGCAGGAAAGGAGAAAATTTTAGACAAGAAAATTTTTCGTCACTATCCGGATTCAAACCCACGACATATTGAATGAGAGGTGAACACCTTAACATCTTGACCACTAAGCCCCCCAAACATCTTCTGATTCCAAGCGGCTCAAGGTAATAATACTTTTAAATTTTAATAATTTTTCTTATTGTTTTGTACTGACTCTGTGTTTGCAACTTATTCAATTTTTTTGGTTTGACTTCCTTTCAAGACTGAACTACATCAGTGGAGAATTTATGGAGAATATCTAATTTACGGGTGATTAGGCAAAATGAACGATAGGTCTATCAGACTGAGAATACATGGGATTCCAACTTTTGGAATCAACCCAAGATCTTTCCTGACTAAAGTTTATATTTGACTTACTAGCTACGATTTCTACTTCCGCTTGTCAAAGCTGCTAAAGGATGAGAAAGGCAAGTATCTAAGTGTAATCTAAGAACCGTACGCACTTATAAAGACCCTTTCTAAACAATGGTTTTCCAAAAACCTTGGTCTCACACGTTTTCATGTACAAGGGAGAATAATGATAACGGACCATAATGATAATAGATAACATGTATATACCGAAGATTCCGCTCAACGGCAAGCTCTGCTTCACAGCAGTTCAGTCACCACATCTTGTGAATCTTGTCAATATTTTATTATATTATTAATTATTTATTTTATGTTATTGTTAGTCAACAAAACTTAAACTAAAAGTTAGATAATCTAGATATCTAGATCTAGGCTAGATCTACCTTAGTCACTAGATCTAGAATCTAGGTCTAGAGTCTAGTGCCTTAGTCTAAGGCTAAGGTTGTTGTTTTTTTAGGCCACCTCTATTCTCACCCCGGGTGAGAATAGCGCAGGCGAGTCTTTTGGCTATTCTCACCCGCTGGGCGTTCACCGTTATAGCCAAGGCCAACCTGTGAAGCGTTCACCCTGAACCACATAATTCTACACTGTGATAACAGAATTATAGAATTCTGTGTTGTGAACAAACGTTCTAGATCCATTACTACTGTTAGTATTAGCCTAATAGAAAAGCGTGCAATTTTGTCTGTGGGCAGTGGAGAGTGGAGAGAGAGAAAGAGAGGAGAGGAGTAGCGCGAGAACTTCCGGGCTAAACAAAATGGCGACCCGCGTAGTTCGGCTCGATTCGGAAAGTTAAATAGCCGTAGCATCTTTGTAGACAACCAAATTAATTTAGTTTTGTATTTTAACATCATTTTTTAACTTTGTTTTGGTCAATTTGATCGTCCACACCGATAGACAGTATTCAGAAAGAGAGGGAGAGAGAGGGGAGGAGTAGATCTTGCGAGAACTTCCGGGCAAAACAAAATGGCGACCCGCGTAGTTCGGCTCGATTCGAAAAGTGAAATAGCCATAGCATCTTTGAAGACGATCAAATTAGCTTACTTTTGTGCTATAACGTAATTTTTTCTTGGCTTTTATCAATTTGATCATCCACACCGATAGACAGTATTCCAAAATGAGGAAAAACAGGTCTTGTCTCACACCGGGTGAGAATAGCCTACGCTGGAAGTCTCACCCGGGGTGAGAGATAGATAGTATTTTTATTCTCACCGCGGGTGAGAATAGCCACTTCCTTTTTTTAAGTGAGTGACTTTGAATCGAAATTTTGATGAATAAAAAAAATTACAACTGACAACTTGAGTCAACTGACTGATGGTGTAGTGTAAAGTGTATTGACTGAGTGGAGTGTAGGCCTATTATTTCTTTGCCGCTGCGGTGTGACTATTCGGACACGGACACGATCCTGGTAGCCTCAGCCCTGGCCCCCCTGGCCCCCCTAGCCCTCTATGGTCTATTGTCATTTCAGGTAGAGATTGGTTTTTAGCACCCTCCAACGCTGATTGCTTATTTCTCAGTCACAGCAATTTTATGTGAGGTAGTGTCAAATGCCACCGAGTGACGCAGTGGCAATTGACTCTATTGACGCTGGTGTCAATTGCCACCGAGTGAAGCATTGGTAATTGACTTTATTGATGCGGTAGTGTCCATTGCCACCGAGGGACACGGTCTGAAAACAACGCCATATATCTTTAATCTTTAACTTTCTATTCATAATGTGTTAGGACTACGAACATGGATAAGTTAGATCTAGATCTAACCCAAGGAGGTTGCAGTTTTAACTGATTCCGTCCATGATTTTTTCAGGCTCGGGACAGAATTATTTTTCCCTGTTCAGTTTTAGACCTAGGGTGCATCTATTTAATGCATTACTGTTGAAGCTCCAAGTTACTCTAATAGGTATTGTCATACCAAACTGATGGGAATCAATAGAGGAATCTGTTTAAAAATATCAATAACAATGACCTATAATCTGTTAGTATTGCATTTTCCTTCAGACAAAAACGAATGAGAAAAAAAAAATTGCGCAACAGCTCTTCTAAAATTTCGATTTACCGCATTTTCTCAGCTCTATAAGTCCTTATAATCCATAGGAATCAACACAACATTGTAACCATATCACCCTAGCACATATTTATGCGAGAATTTCACAAATTTAGTTGAATATCTTTCTTTGAAGGGCCTTTTTATTATACCAGGCTCCGTGTTGTTTACCCTTAGATCTAGCCTACATAACATCACGACAACAAAACAACGATTTTTGCAAGAATTTCGCGGAGTTTCGATCGATATTGGCGCTCAGAGATTGAGGTCAGGTTTGTTTACAAGTTCTACTTCCTTTCGACAACTTAAAAAGTAGGAACTATGTTAAAAAGTGCACCTTTGTTTCGGATTTCGTTGAGCCACTCACAGCGGCCGAATGGAGGCAGCGGAAAAACTCAGAGCCGCTGTCAGCGGCCGAATGGACGGAATCAGTTAAGCTCCTTAATGTAACCCCCTCTCATAAGTTGATTTATAAGTCATTATAACGAGTTACACCCATTCTGGGGTTTGAAAGGAAAATAGTATAGAGGTCAATTTCCGAATGTTTTGCACTCCAATTCTTCTTTTTACCAGCACAGTGGTATTCAAAACTATCTATAAACTTATCTTTATCACAGAAAATATCATTTTGCATAAATTCAAGCTCATTTGTAAGATTTTGTTTACAGTAAAATGAGAGTGAAAGTCTTGTTTCCTGGCTATCCTTTCGAGCTCCTCATGTCTAAGTGGGTAAATCTGTTTTCTAATTTCATTGGACGAACATCTAGAGCTACCAACTTCAACTTGGCGTGTTTTGAATGAGACGAAACCTAGCCTACGCTTCGATGTAGAACCAACACAGGCGATTCTAAAAGTAGGCCACAAATGCATACAAACTCAAACAGAAATATATATATATAACTAAATATATCGGGGAACATAAATCCGGGGGACGGGGTTTAGGGACAGAGAGGGACCCCCGCCCCCACACAACACAGGGGCAAAGAGAGAGGCGTGCGTCGGAAGTTCACGAACGCAGAACACGGAACATATTCCAGGCTAGATCTACTCCCAAACAAAAAAGAGCTCCAATTTACTCGGTGGCAATTGACGCTGGCGTCCATTGTCACCGCGTCACTCAGTGGCAATTGACACTATCTTTATGCAAACTGCAAAGATGAATTGTTAGTCCGAAAAGAAAGAGAAGCACGTCCTTCTGGTAATTCTCAAAAAGAAAAAGATCTCCAATGTACAATACTCTCATTCATGCTAGAGTAGAAGGATATCCCAATATACACAGGAGCTTGAACGGACACATGATGTCTCAATAGATGCAGCCATTTCTGTGGATGGTGGTGTGGAAGAAGACTGAATGCAACACAATCAAAATCACATTTGTTCCGTTCATAACAGTTCCCCTCTGCGGCTGTTCTTTTTTCAACTACGTCAATGCAGTTTCCGGGTTCAAATTCAAAGTGTGTAGGAAATTTCAGTGGCGATTGGTAACATTTTTATTTTCAGTTCTGTCCTGCACACAGGATCAGGTATGAGGTGGGTGCACTGCAATGGAGGGTAAAATGGCCCTCATTTTTTTCTGCAGATTACATGCCTACATGGCCACTAAAACGGTCACAAATCAATTATTTTCTAGAATTCTAGAAAACCTCAAACCTAATCGCCTGGGGGGGGGGGGGGGGGGGGGGCCTGTTTTTCTGCCAGATTTCAGTTGGGTTTTTTTACCCTAGGGGGGACATGACCCTTGAAACCCCCCTGATTGGTCCATGTGCTAAAATTACTTTGCAGTTAGGCTTTTATGAATAAAAACCATCACATGACATTTGAACAAAACTATTATTTTGCAAAGGATACAAAGTCAACATTAATATAAAACGAATAAAAATGAAATACAAGAAAAAGGCTCGCTCTATTCCTGAGTATGAGACGTGAGTAAATGTAAAATCAACACGATCCATCTGATTTGGACTTAAAACTAACTACAGTCAAAATGGTCCAAGACAGCCACCCTATGTTGAGGAGGAATATGGCGGTCTTAAATATGTGGCCATCTTCCATAGTATCATTATAATGTAACATTTACCTGGGGGGATGGGAAGTGCCGTTTGTGCAGGTGATCGTTTAAGCTAGTTCAAAGGTATAATAAAAAAGAAACTGTTGTGGGCCATTAAAAATGCCTATTAGTGTGGTAATTATAAAGTAGCCTACATCACAAGGGTACAGATACCTTAAGTGCATTCACTTTACATTGTAACAGTAACTAGTAACATTGTATTCATTATTCAGCTGCAGTGTCTTTTTCTATACATCAGTTTTATACAAAATAAATGGGAAAAAAATAGTGTACAGCGTACTGGTAGCAATGCGAAATGCCTACTGCTCTTTGGTCCAGACAGCAGGCTGCACCAAGGCATTATAAGTTTTAGGCCGTGCAGGATCACATGTTTTCCTTTTCTTTAGTATACTATATGTATTTATGGGTGAACCAGTTGACACAAATGAATGAAACTTGGCAACTAATCTGAACAAAGGCAAAACTTATTTTATGCTCGTGTTTTATGCTGACAGACTTCTTGAAGCAGAGAGATTGCAGTGTTTGTGTGATTTTCTTCTGTTTTTAAAAAACTGAAAGGAGCTGCTGTGTCTTCGTCGGCCAGACAGGCGCCCCTTATGTCTCCTTTAATGCTTTGACATTTCAGGTCCCTGTGTGTTGTGTACAGTGGAACTCACGGATTCCAAGTCTCTTGTATAAAAATTCTGTTGCAATGGAAAAAAATAGAACCAAGCCCATGTGTTGGTAAAAATCAGAAACATCACAACAACGGATGGATTGACTGTTACTTTTTCTTTACCGAAGCCCAAATGAAAACCATTGCATGCTTGGTGTTTCAGCTCCTCACAAGATTGAAGTGGAACAGATAATTTTTAAAAGAATCTTCCAATGGAAATCAACCTTGCAAGCTCACACTTCAAATGGAATAAAAAATTTACAGTCTACTCATTTACAATATCACAACCAGTGATATTCCATATCTTTAAGTTTATGGCTTTGAGTAAAAGTGTTATATATATAATATCTTTGCAGATATTATTGTGACAAAGAAGTGAGAGCTGATGTCACAGCAATTTTCAAACATGTTTCGACCAGACAAAGATCTCAACTCAGGGGTATGTTACGTTTTATTTTGTTATCTCGCAATCTTACTTTTTTTCTGAATTAGTGTGTGCGCCTAGAGAAAGGTACAGACCAAATTGTGTTTCCATTTAAAAAATGATAGATCCACCATTTTTTTGACAATGTGCTCAAAGGGTTTTCATTGATTTGACTTCTAGATATTTTATTTTGAATTATTTTGAGGGTAGGATATAATGTATTCAAATAATGGAAACTGCTTTTAAAAGGTATTAAAATCTATTCTTGAAGCACGTTTTCTCTTCCCTCCTATGTTTTGCCATTGAATTCCATTCTTGATATTGATGTCTACTGAATGCCAAATTGGACATGAATTTTCCATGAATAAATACATTTTAAAAAATTATTTTTTTTTAAGTTTGTATGTTTTCTCACGAAACACTACTTGAGATATCTAAAAAAAATTCATAGACCGCTGTGTTCAGCTTTGAATTTCCTATAAGGTGCAACCCTTTAAAACTCAAAATGGTCAAAATCCGACTTTTGGTACCTTTCTTTAGGCACACACACATTTGTATAGTATGAGTAAATCCAATGAGAAGCTATCAAGTGCAGTGATCAATTCTGTCTCAAACAAGTTTCCAGCAGCATAAATATTCCCAAGTTTCTGTTCTATATATGTATTATCTCATACCAGGAGTGCATATTGTGTATCCTTTAGCAATTATGGTGATGATTAAGATGTCCATTGACCATTGGTCAATGTCAAACTAGTCTTTTCAATGTTTTTAGCTCAATGTTAGGGAGAAATTCCTCATAATCTACCCTATCCTATGAATTATGTAACTAACTTACTCTTACTTATGCTAGAGTAAGAGTACTAACAGTAACGATACTGACACTAGTGAAGCTGTGTAGGTTGTGTAGATTTTACAGAACAGTAGTAAAATCGATATTGGGAGGGTCTTTTTGTTTTTTTAAAGAGCAAAACTGAAAGAAGTTGAAAGAAGTGCCCAGTCACAATTTTTTTATTTTGTCTTGTTCGACCTTGGATAAGGGAATCGTGATCTATTTGCTCTGGCGTTGTCTAGTTTTCATTCCCCACTCTGATTTCTCGTTCTTTTCAAACAAACCTTCCAGTTTGATAAATGGATGGAATGCTCCTTTGAGTTTGAAATATCGGTGGTGGGGATAGTTGTTCTGGAGGGACAGGCTGGTTTGCTTCAGATACACTCCAGAAAAGCACTACAGAAAGATATTAAAGCTTCTTTTTTTGGCCAGACAGAAAATCCACTTACATCTTTTTTTAGCAGTACTTTTCTAAATGATTGTTGTGGAAAGCCCCCTTTATCTGTGCAGCAACACTGTGGTTGGTCTCCACTGTGTGTGAGACAGGAACTAGAATTTCCGCCACTAGTGCAGTACTTTGCACACAGTTGTTAATGTGGACTGAGAACTAAAAAAGGTACATTCTTTCTTTGGAACAGATGATGCCATCCCAGTCACCGTCGCAAATGCCGGGATTTAGTGGTGGCACCAATTTCTATGGGCAAGGTAAGTGGACAGGGTATAGTTTTTAATATTTAGAGATAGTCTTTAGAGTATTACCTTATCATATAAATGACAGAAGTACTTTCTTCATTTGGTTGATTTAAAAAGAAGCCCATTGGCGAAATAAATATAATTTTGTGCCCAGGTAAAAGCCTGTAGAAATGTAGAGCCTGGAGCATTATAGAAAGGATAAGTGGGACCTACTAGTAGTTCACTCTTACCGCCGGCATCATCAAGGTCATTTGTTTATATGAGTATATTATATAGCTTGAAACTTTATAGGATGATTCTCCGCAGACCATGAGCTGTAGCCAGTTGTAGATTCTAAGGCAATTTTAGAGCTACGTGTGATCCATTGATTTCACGAGTGCTTCGAACAAGGAATTGATTTGTCTATGGTTTAATGAATCACAGGTACATTACCACTTCAACAAAGAGCTATAGGAGGCAATCACTTCCGAGGGGGGAACAACGCAGGCCACATCACACCCACCAGCATGAACCCAGGTTTTCCCATGGGCTTGCAACAGCAGCAACAGCCACAGCAACAGCAGCAGCATTCTCCCAACAGTTTAGCTGCCATTGGTCCCCGGAGTGTGCTTGGGGTGCAAAGTCAGGCAGGGCAAGCCAGTTTAGCCAGTCTACAGAAACGAGCCTTCAGGTACTGTTGTCTTGCTGCTTACCAGTGCAGGCATCATGCCTCTGGACTGATTCACGATTTTTTCTTTCTTATGTGATAATCAAGGTGCTTCTTTATGTTGAAAGGAAAATGAAAATTTTATTAAAATTCATAAGTCAGGAAGTATTTAAAATTTATTTCTTATCGAGAACTGTATTTGCTTGTTAAGAAAATAAGAGCTTTGATTTTTTTTTTTGTTAATGGAAAACTTTGCAAGTAAATTATTAATTACGATTTTTAATCTTTTGCTATAATTTACCTGTTACCATAAATGAGATAATGGGTAAAAATCCTTTGTATATCTACTGCCTGTATGATTGTAGGTCTAAGTGCAACTTTATGCACTCACAGGTTTATCGCATAACTTGTGATAGAGAAAGAGTAGGGTTATGCATGATATTACCTGTTCTGATATCAACAATGAAAAATTGCTGTATTTTGACGTCTTCTGTACAAGATGTAGATATGATATTGAATGGTGGGTAAGCATTGCAAATTATTTTTCAAGCAATTTGTGAAATATGTTCCCATTAAATAAAACTGCTTATACAGATGCCAAGACTGTCCAGTTTTTAAATACAATTTTAATTTTTTCTTTGAATTTCAGTTCTGCTGGGCCGATGCAAAACTTTGCTTCAAGTTATGGTTTTGGAGGGTCAAGATCAAGTAAGTATGGACAATGTTAGGGTTTGTTTGGTAGTTGGTTTCCTTTTATTCTAGTAGAGGTGTAGGTATTTGGTCTGGTCACAGGAGGTTAAACCATTGTCTCTGCATTGAGACTGACATTGTCAGAGAAGAACTGAAAATATCTGCTGACTTCTGAGTCATGTGTCCTAGTATAAGAGACCGTGAACTTAATTGGTCTTGATGTCGTTTTATTTAGGGGCTTTTCAGTGTTCATCTTATGGACCTGTTCAAGTTAATGGATTTTGAATAATGTTTTTACAGTAAAACAAAATTGAGGACAGGATAAAGAAACGTGTAATTTTAGTTTTTGCAATGAAAGTTTCCCTTCAATTTTGTTAGTTGCACATTGTCAAAGGCCTTCTTGAAACACATTTTTCTACATGATGCATGACAATGTAGCCTGTTCGCTTTTTTTTTTTTCAATGGCTCACGGCTTACTGCATACTTTCTAAGTTAAAAAAACATATTTAGTGGTTATCTATTGTTTTCCTTGAAGGAAATTGCTTTGAACTAATTTTCTTGGAATAAGAAGACTTTTAAAATATTTTTTAAAGTCTTATGAAAAGAAGTGAGAAGCATTTCCTTCTGTTATTAAAAGCTTGTCCCCTTCAGTATTCCTGGCATCCTATAGCTGCTAGTGCTCCTCTTGTTTCTGCTGTAGGTTCAATGCTCTGGAAAATACTCCTCTCAGATTGATGAGAAAGTGTATATTATGTTAAAGTGGTAAAGTTTTCTATCGTCAGCAGCTGCAGGGTCAACTGAAACCAATGAAAAGTAAACCATATATTGAGATAAGGTCATCAAATCCTAAAAGTTCTGTCCGGCATTGGATTTTGGATATGATATTTAGTTCATTTTTCAAGTATCTGCATAGTTTAAATTGAACCTATTCTCCCTTGCCACATCTTTGGGATTAAGATATTCTGAACATATTTCAAATGTAGAAAATATCCATTTGGACCTTAATGATGCTAGGCAGATTTGTCATTGGCTGGCTGCCTGGTACTTTATTAAGGGGCTTTACAAGAATTGGCATCATGCAGGGAAATAAGTGAGGGTTTTTTTTTCTGCTTTTGAGTCTTACATTAGAAGTGGTTCCATGTATGGTCTTGTCCTTAGGTTGGGTATTAAGATCATTCTTGAAATCATTTGTAAAAAATCAGAGACTTTGCTCAGACTTTCAGGTTGTTTCTCTAGCTTCACGAAAGACTTTGCCTCCTTATCTTATGAACTGGCTGACAAGAAGATTTTTGATTGGGATAACTTGCAATTTGAAACATAAGAAGTCATTTTATTTTTTGGTAACCTTTACTCGTGATGTTAGATTTGTAGTTGTTAAAAATATTGCCAAAATGCAAAATGGTTTGTTCTGGTACAATGAAAAAAATTGACAGCACTGTATACTATGGCTTTATGTATTCTTGCATCACCGAGATATCTCCTCTCTACCTTCATTGTGAGTACATCATGCTGTACTAACAGAATGCTTGGTGAGCACACAAAGTTACTGAAGAATTTTATGCCACTTTGTTCACATGGCCATTTGCTTTGATTTTCTTTGGCCTGTAGACACTTTTTTAAAAATCATCAATCTTTTTTCTTATTTTGCTTGCATCATAAATTTGCTGCAGATGAGTTTCTTTACTATTCCAGGTCTTTAGAAGGAAACTTTTTATTTTATATTTTTGTTGCCTTCTACCGTTTTAAATGTACTCTTTCATTTTTATAATCTAACATATAAATTGCCTGAAACTTGCAAATGTTATGCTCTAATGGATTATGGTTGTTTAATGGTTTTGGTAAAGTCCAGTGTGTTATTGTTGAAAATTTTTCTGAATTAGGATTCTCCTTACACGCAGAAATCTTCATCAGTGTCATCTGTTCGTTTTCCGAATTTTTTTGACAATCTTTCAAAGATAATATTTTTGGAAGGAGGAAAATAGAGTTAGAATAGCTCTCACAAAAAAATCTTGTAATTAGTTTGTTTGTAAAATGTGAGCTATCTCATGCCGTTTCATTAAGATTTTGCTAACAAGATGTCCTATTTATGTCACCACATTTGTCACTAAACTTTGATATGGATCACCACTTCTGACATTTCATTTCACAGTTGATTCTCATCCAACCATAGACTTGTCTGACTTTCCGACACTCAGTAGTCGGTCATCAGCCACACCTAATCCTCTGCCAACAACGAGGAATTATGGTGAGTCTGCCATGACTTTTCTCTGTCCCTCTATATTTCTTGTTGGGGGGAAAAGGGGGGGGGTTACTTCAGTCTTGTGTGAAAGAGAAAAGTAAAGAAGTTTTATCTTGTATATTAGTGGTGGGTAAATGGTGTATGAGTATTTCATTGATGCAGTTGATGTGATGCTAAACTTTTGTGTAAATCAGATGGGTTTTAATTCTTTTGAATTTAGGGTTTTTGGGGAAGTTTTCAGTACTTTTGGTCAATGTAGTATTTCAAGTGGCCTTAAACTCATGCAATTTTTTTTATCAAAAAAAAAAATTAATAAAATCTCACTTAAGTTGGCTGTGAACATTCATAATTTGCCTCAGTTTGATGAGTGTACTGTCATTCGTTGTGGTTCAAGGGGTTTCAAATTCAAAGCAACCAGTGGAAATATGGAAGCCAAAACCTTGTGTTGAGAAAATGTCTGTGCAGCTCCGTGCTGGGTACAGGCTCGTGGGTGAAGACCATCACTGGCTGGTAGTGTACAAATAACAAGTCTGTCAGGGTAACTAAGAGAGGGAAACTGGTGTTGGAGAGCTTCCTCTTGGCTAGTTCTTGTTTTCTATGTAATTACCCTATGTGATTCTTAGAAAGCCTGTATGTGTTTTGTCTGTTGGGTAAAAGTCCCAGGTGGCTCTGGAAAGCAGTCAGAAGACTCATACGTTACCTTATATAAATAATAGACGGAAGGAGAAAACATGCTGGTATTATCAACATCATTTTCACCCCCAATATTTTTTGTCATCGTCATCATCATTGTCATCATCATCGTGTGCCATGCTAGTTGGTGTTGGCTATGGTAGTTGTGTATTTCTCTGTCAGCAGTGAAAAAATTTGATGAAAAACATAAAGAAGTGCTACTTTAGACATGGTGACCTGTAGATAAATCTTAAGCAATTAATTGCTGTCTGACTGCTGCTTTACCTACACTGCCAAATCTTTCTGCGTTATTTGATAAGTCTGCTTTTTTTCACTCTCCCTTTCACTGCTTTTGTACCTTTGCTAGATTTTCACTCAGATTTCCCTGGATTTTATAGAAACGTGGGTCGGACACTCTTTGCCAGCTGCAACTTTTTACGCACTCTGTGTACCTTGTTTACTCTATGTTTGTCAGTGTGTGTGGGAGCACTATCTGACTAAACTTAGTTATCAGACAATTTTCTCCATTATTTTTGGGCTCTCCTATTGCCAAACAGGTATCAGTGAAAGAGATACTTTTGTGGGCATCAAGATTGTTAAGCTTTTTTATGTAACATCACTGCCTGGGATATTTCTCCTTGTTTGATACGTTTTTGGCTGTGAGATGATACAGAACCGTAAAGTAATTCTCGTTTACAGTGTTTGCTTTTCCAGTGAGTTCAGAATGAAAAATTACTAGCTTCCTGTTGCTCAATTGAACACAATATGGAACTTTGTGTTCCAAATCTCAGGAGGATTCTTTTATTTAATATTGTCATACTTCCCATAATGTTTTCCTTTTAGCCTGGTGTCCAATCAAGAGACCAAGGGTTTTGATTTAGAAATTATCGATTCCTTGTTTCATGTAGTGTTGGAATTCTCCAAAAAAAAAGAAGATATTTATTGATATTATTAAAGCAACCAAAATTAATTGTGTTCAGATCTACTTGTTTTTTATTCTGGTCTACTGTAAAGTAAATGTTACAATTTCATTTTAATTCAGTGGTCAGTTTCAGTCCATTTATTTGTGTATACCGTGCACATGTGTATCTTATTTACTCTAAATGCATTCATCTAACTACCACATGTTTGAATTACATCCTGTACAAAGTGCAGGTGTTTGGAGGGCACCTTCTGTTTTGACATACTTCTTTCCTTTTGCACTGTTGTTTCTGCCTGTCTATCTTGCTTGTTTCCTTGCTTTAAATGGCATTTATCATGTCAGTATGCTTATCTTTACTCAAACACAGACTCAATTATTATCAAAGTTTCAAAGTTCTTTAAGCACATAAGCTGTTTTTCCTCTGATATTTGTTCATGTGTCTGTGTTTATGTTTGCAGTGGGCATGGTCAGCAAACCAGCACAAGACTCAGCGCCAGAGTTCAACATCACGCAAGAGGAGTTCCCTGCATTGCCAGGTGCACAAAGTGAGTACATATCACAGGGGAGGTGGTTCCCTTTCAAAAACCCTGATATAAAGCACTAAAAGGAAAAGGGTGTCATTGCTTATCTTCATGGGAAAAACATGTAATTCTTTATTAAGTGACTCAGTTTGTATATGAGAAGAAAAGTAGAGACAACTTTAAATTTCCGGGGGTATTTAAAAATGTTTTCTTTGTTTCAGCAGTTTAGTTACATGTGTAGACTGTGGCAACTGTGGACATCATTTAAGTCAAGTTTCAAATTATAATAGGAAGAAAAATATTTGTCTTGTTTGTTGATCTTTACATTCAACTGTGGACAAATTTCCCCCGTAATTTTCCTCATTTGACTTAAAAGATGTGGTTAAAACTGCATGTAAGCCATTAGATGTTTCTGGTTTGTTTTTGTTTTTTTCTTTCATTTTTGAATAGGCAGATTCTGATCTCTGGAACGGCTTTCCTAATCTTCGGTCAAGGGTTGTATGGAAATAGTTTTCATCGCTTAGCCTATCTTTGGTGCAGTCCTAGGGGAGATAGGTGTTTCTTGTGGGAGGTCTTGGTTTTTTACCCATTCTTTTACAATCAAACCTGTCCAAGACAAACCCTTGTTGGTGAGGAGAAAAACAGCCATCTTAGACGGGACGGGG